ATGACCCCCCTGAGAAGGTGGGGGGTCTTGGGGGCTAAATGAACTGCTGCAGGAAACAAAGCTATTCTACTTTGAGTTTCAGGAAAGAGCTGTGGGGTTCTGCTCTGCCAGGGTGGGCTGGTGCAAGGATGGGGAGTGTGGAGAATGAGGGGTCTCTGTGCTCGCTGGCTGTGGACTGCTTCCCCTGCTTCCGGACACAGCCTCTGCTGGTAGATGTGCTCCCAGGTGTGTTTAAGCCTTTGCTTTCCATTCTCATGGGATTACTTTTTTGCAAAATGCTGCAAGCTTTGCCTACCTGCTGTTTTTTTTTTTTTTTTTCCTCAGCTTTTCATGTAGCTTTTTTTTTTTTTTTTTAGATCTGGGGGGCTGTTTGTCTGTGTTCCACCTTGCTGAGAGCCAGGGCTGCTTGGCTGGGGTTCCTGCTCTGGTTTGCAGTGTGCCTGGGGTACAGGGAAAAAGATCCTCATGAGAAAATTGGACAAGCTAGGAGCTCTGCAGAGGGCAGCTACGCAAGCTTCCCCAAATGAAGAAGTCCTTCAAAGTCTTTCCTAACCTCTTGCTGGATTTGCAGTGTGCTGCAGTGCTGCAACGGGGATGAAGCAGAGCTCAGTGCTGGCCTGGAGCTATCTCTTAGATCTGTAGCAGGGGAAAACTCGGGCTGCCTTTTTTTTTTTTTTTTTCCCCCCCCCAGTAAAAGCATGTGTGTGCAGGAGTTCTCCTTCCCACCTCTCCCTGTGCTCTTTCCCCAAGCTGAAACTGGGGCATCTCCCCCTTCTGCTGGGTGCAGGCCCTGTGCTGGATGGAGACTGTGGGCTGCCTTGGCTGCCCCTCTCTCTGCCCTGCCCCTCCAAATTCTCTGATGCTTCCAAAATGTTGCCTGCTGTCCCAGTGCCAGCCTGCCAGGCTTTCTGGCCTCTCCGTGCTGGCAACTAGCCCTTCCCAGAGTGGGAGAGGATGAGGCACTTGCTTGGAGGGGTTTGCAATCTAGGTTAGGTAGGAAATGATGCTGAGAGTGGTGACATCAGGGAGGAGGGTGGGAGGCAGCCTGCAGATGACGAGTCTATGAGGTTGCCTTTCTGTGCAAGGTACGTGTTGCATTAGTAATGTGTTTGTAGCAAATAACGCTGGGCTAGCATGGGAATGTGGGTCACTGCTGGCAGAACTGGCGAAGGAAGAGGGAGCTGCTTGTGCTCTGCTGGGAAGAAAGCGTATGTTACTGAGGGATGTTTTTTTGAGGGGGACATGCAGCTGCGATAACTGCTCCAAGTTGTAAGTAGCAGCTTCTGTTGGGCAAGTGGGTGCCTGTTGCCTGGGGGATGCCTCTGGCCTGGGTGTTGGGGTGAAATGGTTTTTGAGGAGGAGGGAGTGGGATGCAGCAGTTTGTGTTTCTGGTGTGTAATAGTCGCATCATGTCAGGAAACTCCCAGACTTGCTGGCTGATGCTCTTGGTGGCCCTGGCTGTGCCTGGAGCACCCCTGCTGCCCCAGCAGGCATGAGGAGGGATGCAGCCGGGCATGTATAACCGAGGATTCCAGCGTATTTTCATGACCTATTTCTCATTCTGTTGTTCAGTGTGTGTGCGCTCAGGAAATCTTTGTGCTTTAGGGGGAACAGGGTTTGTTAGTGAAAAGCAAAAGCCTGTTTGACTGCTCAGGAGATTTTAGACTAGAAACTAACCTGGCTTTGGAGGTAGACTTAAGCTGGGGAAGGTGGCTCTGAGCCTGAACAGAAAGTGATACAGGATGGGGATATATGTGTCCTAAAATGTGCAGGGTACTTCAGTGCAGAAAGAGAGACTCTTGCCTCAGAGCAAGTATATTTAATGCAATAGCTTTGTTGGAAAATGCTGCCCTTGGTCAGCAGGGACTTGTTGAGTAGCTTCACTCCAGCAAAGGAGCAGTGGAGCAGAATGGTGCTGGTGGAAGGAAGCACAGATGGGCTGCCAGGATGTGGTAGTTGCAGGTTGTGGGGACCTTGCTAGAGCAGCCTTGTCCGAGCCCCTCAGAGCAAGGCAGGACCTTGTCCTTCATCCTGTGCTGCCAGCAGATATGTCCAAGCCAGGTGGATGTGTTTCTGTGGCTTGCCCCTGTGCTTCCCAAGATGTCCAAGCTGTGGCATGTCCACCTGTGCCTGAAGGAAGTCTTTTATTTCCCCCTGAGTCTGGGATCAGAACAGCGTCTATGGCAGCAGACTGACCCTGGGGCCAAAATCCAGCTTGTGGGAGTTCAGATCTGGAGGGCAGAGCTGGTGTCCCTCTGCTGTGACCACGGTGTCTGGCTGGTCTGTGGAGCAGCCTGTGGGACAGATGCAGCCCCCAGGCAGGTGCGGGATGACCTTCAGTAGACCTCAGTGAGCCAGGGACAGCCAGGCTGTTGGGGAAATAAGGACAATCTCCAGTGGGAGGGGATGGGGATCTGTCTGGGTGCTGCTGCATGCTGTTGTTACTGGTGGGTGCCGTCTGGGCCCAGCTCCTGTACCTGCTGCAGGGCAGAGTATTGGACAGGGTCAGGGCCCCAGACCAGCCTGATGTAAGCTCACTCACTGAATGCTTTGTGGGTTTTTCTTTAAATTCCTGCTTTCCCTTTCTTATCCCTTCAGAAACTCTAAAACCACAGTCTGTTTTTTGTCTCCTCATCAGATCTGTGCCCAGGTCCCAGAGCTGTCGGTGGTGCCCAGTTGAGTGGTTCTTGGGAATGTGCATATCCCTCCACTGGCAGATCGTACAGCCCGTGCGGGAAGGGCTCTATAAATGGGCTTGTTTCCCTCAAAACTTGTCCTATGAGCTCATTGCCCAGGCGCATGGGCTCTGGCAGTCAGTGCTGCCAGCTCCTTGGTCTGTAGAAGAGCTACTCCAGGATGGTAACTTGTTTGTATCTACGAGGGCCCTTTTTTTTTTTCAGGGGAGGGAGGGAAGTGTATTTTTCTGTGAATGTTTTGACTCATTCTTTCCCTCCAGTAGCAAAACTAGGACTGAGCCAGGGAGTAAAACTGAGTCTTGGAATGTTTTTATCTGCTACTAAGCAAAACAAGGAACTCCTCTGTACAGGTTGCACTTCCCAGGCTTTCCTCTTGCCCAGCCTGTGCGGCGGGGAGCAGGCTCAGGACTCTGCCTCTTAGTGCAGCGAGTGGTGGTGGTGATGATGATGATGGGTGGTGCAACCACCTGTGCAGCTGAGCAGCAGGGATGCTCCATGGTGGGAACCCCAGCTTCTGGCACTGGCTGCCTGTCCTTGGGCAAGTCACTTGCTGCGATGTGTGTGCTGGCTTACCTCCTGCAGGGCCCTGGAAGGTTTCATTCATGTCCCTAATTACTCAGTCTTGAATGAAAGGGGCACTGGATGTGCTGAGTGTGTGACGTACCCCAGTACAACATCGTCTTTGTGAGCACTCTTCTTGTCCCTTCTGGGGACCCAGGGGTGGCTCGGGGAGGCTTGACAGTGGTGCTCTAGCCTGAGTCCCCTCTGCCATGGGCAAGGGTCTCTGTTCTGCAGGACTTCTCCCCATCCTGTGTGAGATTGAGGGCTCCTGGCAGGGCTGGGAGGGAAGCTGTCCTGGTTCCTATAATTTCCTGGTTATTTTGGTATGTGGGTGGAAGGGGGAGGAGGGCAGCTGTGGAGAGAAAAGCAAGGTCAGTGAAGAACAAACGTGCCTCTGTGCACTTGTGATTGCACTGCCAGCTAATCGGCTTCGGCGCTCCAACTTTCCTCGCAGAGCTCATCAAGAACGGCCGTGAGAGGATCGGACAAACCATCAAGGCTTCTGGCTCCAGGCTGTGCTCATAGTGAGTACAAAAACCTCCCCGTGGGATGAGAGCCCTTTAAAACCCAGCCCGATAACCCCCGGGCTGGCTCAGCCGTGAATGGAGCTGGCTGGCACCGGGCACATGGTGGGGCCCCCCGCCAGCTCCTGCTGCCCCCCGGCATCCCCTGCCATGGGAGAGGGGCTCTGGGATGGCTGCGGGTCTGTGCCCGACAGTGTGTGGGGATGGCAAGGGGCAGCACTCACAGGTGAGATTTGGGGGAGGCTGGGGGAGGGTAGGCTGGGGGATCTTGTGGCCCCTTTTTGGAAGGGGTAGGGTGGGGGTTGCTGGGGGGACAGGAGACTTCAGAGCCTCCCTGTGGTGTATGAGAGCTTGGTGGGTCTGAGGGGGATGGACAGAGTGCTGTAGGGTTGGGGAGAAGAGCACAGAGCTTTTTTTGTTGTTGTTTTTTTTCCCTTCTGTCATCTCTTTTGCTTTTGCAAGGGGTGTGGTGGAACCCCTAAAACCAAGGGGAGGAATCTCTGGGGTGGCAGGACCCCTCCCTCCC